ATATAGATACTTTATTTATCCCGAGGGAAATTCAAGAAATTAAAAAAATATGAATGTGAATATGAATATGAGTGATTCTCTGGAGCCCTAGAATGATCATTTCATGAAATTCAGCCAACACCTGTGACCACAATGTGACTAGTTGTGGTGGCTGTACTTGTTGTTCAGTGATTGATTGCTAGCTCCTTTGCATCTCTTTTATCTACAAAGTGTCTGGTGCATCTCAGTGGCAAAACAGCAGGGCTAGGGGAAAAATGTAATTGTCAGGTTAAGCCAATCAAAGGCAGAGTAGGGTGGGTCATGCCTTCTCCATAGTACATAAATACCCATCAGCACAGACTGAGCTGAAGCAGTTAAATTACTATATCAATTAGTAAAGTGTCCATCAATAAAATATGTAAATCACAGAGAGTTGAGGCAGAGCAGGACATCAGACGAAAAAACAGAAAACATCATTCATGTTATGTGACACCAACTATGTCATAAATACAAATGTCCACCCACTGGACTTGCAGGCTTTAGTCGTACGTACTGTAAACATATTCGCAATAATCAATTTCAATCTGTGAGGGTTCAAGAACTGCAAGGCTGTAACCGTTGATAGACAGGCATCAAGTCGTTTCCCTCTGTATCATGATGCAGATATAAAATGCACAATGTCCTAGCACTAGCCAGCTTCCCTGGAAAACTGAGTTGCAAGGAGAGAGTCCTGTAAGTCACTGGTTCCCTATGAAAACCAGTGATTTACAGTGACTTAAAACTTCTTTGATTTTACTGATCAAAATGGCTGCTTGTCTTGTCTTGTCTTTTGTGTCAAAATAATGTTATGCTTCAAAATTGTATGTGTTTTGGTCTGAACACTAAAAGACATTTTGGGTTACGTTAAGATCACCTGAACCTGGTGTCTTTTTGGGAAACCAATGGCCTGCCTTGGTATGAATATAGGATTGCATAACATAAACCTGGCACAATTTTGTTTTCATGCATAAATGTTCTGAAATTTTTAACTTCTAAAGGCTGTTTGGGTAAGTATTTTCATATTAGTAAGAGTAGCATTATTGCTATGTTACCTGTCTCCACTAAGCACCAGTCCTTCATTACACTGGCATCCCTCCACACAGGGTGTTTTACATTGCGCTTCACTGTCTGGGGACACACAGGAGCCAGGGCAAGCTGAACCACACGCCTCATAGTGGCTACCTGCTGGACAAGAAAGGACTGGGACAAGGGAGAGGGCAGATCATTTTGTTAATCACGCTCCCATTGTGTAGTTTTTATATCCACATGTAATTGATTAAAAGGTGACAGGTAAAGTCAGTATATGTTAACTAAAACTCCTCTCCAGATATGTAATAAGACACATATACAAATACTCACACATAACAATAATGTGTCCGATATGTTTTTCTGCAAAAAGTATAATTTCTACACTAAAATCCTTCAAAAGACATCTACTCCTTCTACCTCATCTATGAATATGCAAATGTTGTTCATTTTAAAGTTTTCCTGCTGGACACAAGATGTCTCCTATTGTCCATTTTCAGTGTATGTGCACTGGTGGCTTCAAGTTTCTACATCACACTGAATAAGTTCCAAACTATTTGTGACTTAACAAATCATGCTC